CCCCCCCCCCCGCCAATTTTTATTTAATGTCAAGTAAAATTAATTAAATAAATTCATAAAAGAATATTAACTCAGGTTTACAACTGAGCAGAAAATGACTAAACCTGAACAACATTTAATTCACCTTAAACATTTTATCGGGCGAGAATTCCAGATATATCTCGTTATGTTCCGGGGTAACTCCTTCGATGTTGTATTCGTTAAAGAAGTTCTCCTACGACATTTCTAATTGTACGTATCGAATTAAGCTTATTTTGAATTAACTAATGTTTTTTTCTCTATAAGATGTGTTACTTAAATTTGGATTTGTGATTTATTATGTTCAGTAGGAACTATTTAATTTTTAACGTATCAAATCAAATCATTAGGTGTAGGGATTGCTTTAGGTTTATCAGCCCGGATCCACATAAATCTACTACAGCTTATCTAATTAAAATATTGGTTCTTTTACAAAATTTTAACATGCGTATTATTATTGTGTAAAGAACGCTTTAAATATTATGATTTGTATAAAACATCCTCAACCAGTTCATTATTTTTTTTTTAGGAATAGTCACTTGTCTTTAATTTTAAGATCTAAGTTATTATCTATAATGCTAAGTAGCTTATTAGAACTGCATAAGAGAAATAAACGGTGATCAATTAGTCAAAAAATCAAGAGATTAATCATTTAAACCGATTTCTCGGGGAAAAAACTAAGAAAAGTACATATACAATGTTCCTGATCGATTTCTCCCCAAACAGCCGGACCTCCAACAACATTATTCAATTCCGACATTATGAGATACATCTTGTCTAAATGTATTAAATCTATTTATTAATTTGTAAACCTTTAAATACAAATGTATCAATAGGTTTTACATCAATTTACAAATTGATTGAAAAGTGATTAAATGCAATTAATCAATCGCATGACTGACCAACATCAACAAATTCAAATGATCAATAAAACACACCATCTTTTCATTCAACATACTATTAAGTAATAAAGAATTCAGTAACGATTTTATCACGTAAAACTCTACCTACGGTTAATCGCATCACACAAGTCTTTGCTATTTTCGCAATCGAAGAAATAATCGCATAGAACTTCCGAATGCAGTGGTACTCCGCCATTTTTCCACGAAACTTCATTTTTCTGAAACAGTGAAATCGGAAAAATGAAAAATGCTTTAATATATTACTTTTCCTCTCGGCCTCTCTCTTCAACTATCCTCTTTGCATCTTCACGTAAATGAAAATCCTTCATCTCTGAAACAATTTTAAGAGACTTTGTGTTAATGTTTTCAAGGCTAAGTCCACATTTGACTGCAAAGTCTAAAATTTCTTTGGTGTTTTCCCTGTTCACAGACAAGCACTGGTTGCAGGCTATACGGAGAACACTACTATCATTGTTTAAAGCTGCATACGCCCATCTAGTAATCATTTTCTCTTATTTTAGGATTAGAATACCTTCGATTTGATCTGACCTCATTAAGCCTTTTATTAGATTTGACATTTTTAGAGGGTAAATGAAATTCAGCCTAAATTGAAAGAAATCTTTAACAACTTAACCAAAAAAAGAGAATATGTTTTTCCTGAGTTTTTCGAGGGAATCAATGTCCACGATGAAGTCCCGAGCTACCTCTAGTCTGTCTTCCCTAGTATCTTGACTCCAGTACTTGACTAATCCTTCCTTATCTCCGGATCCAGAGCAGAACCGTCCTAGCAGAGCTCTAGCAGGAGCAGATCCTTCACTAGCCATCACTTCAACCTTCTTCTTTAACGTTTCATTCTAAATAATTGTTTATTATTAGATCTGCGGGGTTATTATCAGTCCTTCCCACTATTTTTACCTTTTCTCATGGTCTTTCTTAATCATTATTCATTACCCCTAAGTTGATTCCAAATAGATCAGAAGACAATTTTTTTTACTTAAACCGTGACTTCAGAGCTCAGCCGGTTTTTTGGTTAGCTGATAGCTACTCAACGCAGCATTGAGCAACTTTCACCAATTAGAGGCGTGAACCCTAATTTAAAAGCTTATAAAGTGGATATCGAGCTCAGTCGCTGAAGTTCAGCGCTATCCAATAGAAAAGTTTTGCCCTCTGATCACATCAATATTTACCTGGAACAGATTAGATATTTTCTTGTATGAAATCCGCTGAGGTAAATTTGCAAATTGGAAATAAGTTTCAATATCTCCGGACTTGAGAAATATGTCTCGCAGAATTTGATCTGTTTTCAGAGTTTTTCTCGTCTCGACTGGTATTTCGTTGACATAAGTGAGCGCAGAATCCTTGTTGGTTGAGAACATCCTTATCAAAAGTCCAGTCAGAGGTCCCCTAGCAAGTAAAATCGGAGTTAGTTAATCTTTAGCATAACTTTAAATCATTTTGAATGAAGTAAACTATCTTTAAAAAAACAGGAAAACAATATCAAAACATTCGAGATTTTTGTTAAGATTTTAACAACCCTGGCTGCAACAAACACCCATATTTGAGAAACCTTTACCTGACGTTTTTAAACTTATGATTTTTAATCAATTCTCCAACTTCTGTTAGTTTGTCTTGTTGAAGAAGATGGTCCAATCCCGATCTTAAAACATCAGCGTTAGTCTCAACCTTTAGAAGCTGAATTAGTTCGTCAATATCGTTTGCTTGCATAGCCTTAGAAACCGGGGTGGCTGGGACCTCGGGAGAAACCGGAATAGTTTCAACTCTAATTTTCTTCACAGCGGGCTTGCTCGTTTCCTTAGCGGTGGTGGAAGAACTCTTAACAGTTCTCTCTCCTTCCAGATTTAGATCGGTTGTAACGAACGGAATCTGAAGTTGGCCGGCCTGTAGCGCTCTCGCTATTTCAGTTTTCAACTGCATGCTGGGAGCATGTCCTTCCTCCTAAACATTAAAGAATAATACTTTAGCAAAGTAAAACTCTAAAATCTCAATACATTTGTCTACGCTTTAATAGATCTCAAATAAACTAGCTTGGGAGACCAGCGTTTCCTGGAGACTAAGATTTTGCTAATAAAGTCAACCCGTTAAAACTCAACTTTTAAACTTTTAAACCAAACCAAGAGTTACAAAATCTAAATTTAGGACAAAATATGAGGTATTTTTGAAATTTAAATATCCGATGAATTACAAAATATATCTTTTTTTCATAAAAATTAAACCTTTTAAGATTTAATAATGATACCTGAATCTGCAGCCAGATATCATTGACCTTCTGAGCATTCTTAGACACAGCCTTAACCCAAGTTAGGTACATATAGTCACGGTCGCAGCCGAACAAGTTCTTTGTCAACCTGACCAAGTCCTCCAGGCAATCCAACTCTTTGTTCGTGACAAAGGTTTCCATAATGTTTGTCATGGATTTATGATTGTACATGAGCCCTGGAGTTTCAAGCATCTTCTTGGCCTGTGCCCGTCTCCCCTGTTGCAGGAAGACTTGGGTTAAATCGTACAGAGATTTCTCCTCTCCAATTACTTGAATTGAAAAGTCTATAATCTTTTGAAGATCATCAACATTCTCGTCTTGAACCAATCTGAACAAATCAAAAATAAAATTTATATTATCAAAGTCTCATTTTACCTTAGTCTCCACTCTTACAAATGTTTAACAAGAAATAAAATTGAAATTCTGTTTATTACAGGGGTGCATAATTTTAAGAGTGATTTTTGACGAAAAGGGAAAAAATGATTTTTTTCATCCATTAAGAACATTTTTGCCCCCAAAAAATATGATTTTTCCTAAATCCATTAGTTCCCAAGTTCAACGAAAAGACCTCTTTAACATAACTAACATCACTTCTATGGGGGGGGGGGGGGAAGGACTGTTCAGAATAAAGCCATCTGCATTATTACAAATTCTAATTAATGAATTCCTACCTCTTTGTCAAGTCCATTTTTGCTGGAAGACATTTGTGTTTATTACAAATTTGCTCGAAGGCAGAAACAGCTCCGGCAACATCATCACGAACCAGGTGAACCTTGACCAGGGGTCCGAACAGGAACAGTTTATACTTTCTTGAATCCTCCCTAAAGTATACAATTATTAAACTTCAAAGGCACTATATGGATATAATTTTCTTCGTTTAATAAATTGATTTAAACTCTAAAAAAACAAAAGTATCATCCCTACGATTTCTAGCATACAACTTAATCTGTTAATTTTAGAGGATCAAGAATATGGCCATTTTTAAGTGGTATACCTAGTCTCTTGAATCTTGTTGATGAGGTTGTTAAGGTTCTCTACATCTCCTGCCTCTACGTAGTGATTGATCAATTGCCTCAGGTTATCAATGGAGGACTTTATGAGTTTCTTTTCTGTCTTGGTTTCAAGGAGTTCTAAAACCTTCTCGTGCTCTCCCTGAGTAAATGAATAGAAATTTTTAATCTTATATAGGATTTTTGATATAGTGAGAAACAAAATGCCATAAATAATCATAATTATGAAATATTTTTGACTACCTTCTTGGCATAAGCTGTCATAATTTCCGTGTAAGTGCTGTAAAATGTATCTTTGGTATCCTCGTGGAAAACTTTCACAGCCTTTTCTAAATCGTTCGATCTAAATAAAATAGGTTTAGATTCTATTTCTATTCTTATTTTTAATATATTTGTAACTATTTCTTTTTTCGACTTATCACATTTATTTTAACAAATTTTGTCTATTACAAACTAATTTTCTAAATTTCAAACCAATTCAATTCATATAACAGTTTTCCTATTTATCACGTTTTTTCTATTTGTTACATTTTTCTATTTTTTAAATTTATTTCGATTTCCCATTTTTTCTCATTATTTTAAATTTTTTATTCTCTATTCCTTTTCTATTATTTCTTCCCATATTCTACTTTCATTCCTCTTGAATAATTCGTTTCTTTTCTTTTCTTCCATGTTAGTTTATATTCCTTCTTATCCATATTTTTCTCTTCTTTTATTCGAAATTTATCAATCCTGATTGTGTAATGTTAATTATGTTTACATATTTAAATAGATACCTGATAATAGACTGTATAAGATTGTTTCCTGTGACCGGATTCAAAAAGAATGCTTCTTCTCGTGCTTGTGCCTCCGCGAGCTCAGTGAGTGCAAGTTCGACCTTGTCGTTCTCAGCAAAGGCTTGTATCATCTAAAAAAGAAGATTTTATCGTGATCAGTCCGATGGAAGTTTTACGTCTGCTAAGAGTTCTTAGTTTTAACTGGGCTTCAGGGCATAAAATTATTTCTGGAAATTTTTATTTCTGAAGCAATTTATGTCAAAGAGGAGGAAGAAGGCAAAAGCAGCACCCGTATAGCCTCCATTCCGCAATTGACTCTCAAACATAGAGTCGCGGCACTGCGCTTAACCGTATCGCATCCGGTCCGCACCCATATGTCTTCAGGCAAAATGTCTTCACGTTTGCTTATTTTCTCATTAAAAAATAGTTTGTACATAATTGCTGATGTTGTTCTTCTCTAAAATGTTTTCTTAATGGTAAGGAGAAGTTCAATCTTCACCAGAAATAACGCAGTTTTGCGTGCAATTCGGTTTAAAATTATCTAAATCTATTTATATTTCTATCTAATTATCTAACTGATTTAGACAATTTTAAACCAAATCGCGCGCAAAACTGCGTTATCTATTTTGCTTGATTTCCCCATCTAAAGAGGCTACTATATACTTTTTAAATTATTAATATGGAACTTTGCATTATGTACAGTTCAAATAGCAAAATATGACTTGGTTATGATTATAATTTTAATTAATTTCTCTTAAATGTAATTAATGTGAATTTTAAAGTCTCGGGGTAAAAAGCGTTTCTGAGAAGTTTTCCAAATACTCTAATTGAATTAAGAGAACTTGCTGATCACCCACCTTATCCGCCAACTTTGGATTAAACGTATTCCTCTTGGCGAGGATATTCTTGATCTTGATCATCTCCTCTAGATCAGACGGGATATCAAAGTATCCAGTGTACATCCTACTCTCATTCACAGGGTTGGAGTATCCTGCATTCTTCATTGCTCTCTTGAGTTTATTTTTCCTAGATTCTAGGAAGGATTGTTCCTGCTCCGGAGTCCAGTAATCAGACTCAAAATCCAGCACTGCAGTCTCAAGCTTACCCTATATTATTGTTATTTTCAAAGTGTTGTTTTTCTTCTAATTATAGTTTAACCTACGATTCTTGTGATTTTTAGACGAACGGGAAAAACAGTTAATTTTAGTTTTTAACTAACGCCAGCAAACACAATCATTTATCATTTACATTGACATTTATTTAAAAATTGTTTTTAGGCTGTGAATTTTAAAAAGACGAGCAAGAAAGTTGATGAGTTTTGATCTTTTCTTTTTTACATGAGTCCAAAAGATCGCTCCTCAAATATTATTCTAAATGGTTATGCCATTGTGAGTCATTGTTTTAGTGTTCTCTTAAAACTAAGGACAAAAAATATTTAAAAAAATCTCCTTGTTGATACATTTTTTTAAACAAACTTGTTCACCTTAATATCCTGATCTTTGAAGGATTCAGCAAGGTTGTTTGCTACATCTTTCGGTATTCCTAGCTTGCAACTAATTATTTCATCAAGAACAGTGACCAGCTCTTCATGGGTTAGTTGAAGAAGAGCATTGTATAGTGTACTCATTTCCAGCGCATTTTCCTAAATATAAAGGAAATCTGAATCTACAAGAATTTTTTAAGGCCAAAAAGAACAAATAAGACATTTAAAAAAATGTGCATATTAGGCGACATCAAAATACTTTTATCTTTATCTAGAGGTATGTATAATTCTTTCCCTCGAATTCAAAGACCCAAGAAGACAGTAAGGGAAGGTAACGATTGTTACGGTGAAGGTTGGAAAGGAAAGAAAAAGGGAGGGAAAGAGAGAGGTTGAGATGGGAAGGGTAAGGTAAGGAAGGAAAGAGAAAGGTTGAGATGGGAAGGGTAAATTAAGGAAGGAAAGAGGAAGGTAGGGAAGAGAAGGGGAAGGTAAGGAACGTCGAGCAGAGAAATTCAGATCTACACATATCTAACTTACTCTTAACTTGGGAAGCATACGAGTTTGCAAGTTTTGAAAGGAAATCGAAAAAAATTCGCGAATGGAGTAAGGCTAAAAAAATTTAAAATATATAAACCCCTGCTTTAATCATTAACTTTCTCGAATAAAATTATAGTTAAGCAAAATTACACTTTCGCTAGACGCTTATGACCAAATAATCCACTTTTGCAGTTTTAGAAACAACTGGTTAGGGAAAAAAAAATGCAACACCTCAAAGTTAAAAAACAAATAACCACAAAAAAGATGAGAGTTGTAAGTCTGTAAGTGGGGAAGTCTGTAAGTAGGGAGTCTGTAAGTAGGAAAGTCTGTAAGTAGGAAAGTCTGTAAGTGGGGAAGTCTGTAAGTGGGGAAGTCTGTAAGTAGGGAAGTCTGTAAGTAGGGAAGTCTGTAAGTAGGGAAGTCTGTAAGTGGGGAAGTCTGTAAGTGGGGAAGTCTGTAAGTAGGGAAGTCTGTAAGTAGGGAAGTCTGTAAGTAGGGAAGTCTATATTTTCACCACTAACCTTGAGTTTAGTTTTAGATACGAAGAGAATAGAGATGAAATCATCAAGACTATTGCTTCTTCTGTAGCTATGAACTAGAGCTCTATTCCAGAATCCAGGGATAACTTGGTCAATCTTACTATTCAACATAAATCCAACGCACGCCTAAACAAGTTATTGCTTTCAATTCTTGTAAAAAATCTATATTGACTTTTTTGGAAAAATTTAAAAACAAATAAGTTTGCAAAAAACTGAATAATCTGTCCGCGAGTAAATCAAGTATTAACAAAATGAACCAAACTGAACCAACCAACAAACCCACAAAGTCAATTTCTTTCAACATTCCAGATAAACTTTTAACTTGCTCTGAACCAACTCTTTACCCTGGTTCTTATTTCTAACTCATAACCAATTCTTAACCAACTCCCAACTCTTAACCAACGCTTAACCAAACCAACGCTTCACCAAAGCTTCACCAACGCTTTACCAACGCTTTACCAACGCTTTACCAACGCTTTACCAACGCTTTACCAACGCTTTACCAACGCTTTACCAACGCTTTACCAACGCTTCTCCAACGCTTCTCCAACGCTTCTCCAACACTTCTCCAATGCTTAACCAACTCGTTACCAACTCGTTACCAACTCGTTACCAACTCGTTACCAACTCGTTACCAACTCGTTACCAACTCGTTACCAACTCGTTACCAACTCATTACCAACTCGTTAACAACTCGTTAACAACTCTTTACCAACTCTTTACCAACTCTTTGCCAACTCTTTACCAACTCTTTACCAACTCTTTACCAACTCTTAATCAACTCTTAATCAACTTGTAGCCAACACATAGCCAACTCTTAGCCAACTCTTAGCCAACTTCAAACAAACTCTTAATCAACTCTTAAACAACTCTTAACCAAATTTTAACCAATTCTTAACCAATTCTTTACCTACCAAATCTTAAACAATTCTTAACCAACTATAAACCCGCTCAAACCATCTCGTAACCAGCTCGTGACCATCTATAAACCAACTATTATCCATCTCTAAACCATCTGTAAACCATCTCTAAACCATCTTTAAACCACCTGTAAGCCATCTGTAAACCATCTGTAAACCATCTCTAAACCATCACTAAACCATCACTAAACCATTTCTAAACCACCTCTAAACCATCACTTAACCATCTCTAGACCATTTTTAACAAATTGTAACTCAAACTAAAACAGACCGTAAACCAAATCACAATCCAAAGGAATTTGTCACAAACTCAAATTTTCTAATCCCAATATCTTTAAAGCAAGATTTTGTAAATTGATATTTCAAACTCAGATTATTTCATTGATTAATTCATAGTTAAGGTCTACGGCATTACGTTGGAAAGATAAAGATAAAAGAAATAGAAAATCAGAGTTTGTGGCAAAGACTCAATTCCTTTATCTACGATACCTTCAAATATCTAGGATCAGCTCTGTTGAGAAGTTCTGCGATAATATTGTTGTTTAGCTGTGTATAACTAATCATAGGAACTTCGCGCTTTAACTGAAATAAACATAGAACATTTAAACCCTTTAAATATTTGAATTTCACTTTAAATCAAAATCATCGAACTTGACAATATTTAGTAATAACCAAATCTTGCTTTAAATAAAGTAGCACCTGATGGATTAAGTTTCCAGGAAGTTGAGAATCCAGATCTAGATTTCTACTGATGAGATCTCTGCTCACTCCTCCAGTATCAACTCTCAATCCTAGCTCCCTCATAGATTCCAGTACACCTTGTACCTCCTCATTGGTCTTGTTATTCATCTAAAATAAGTATATTATACTTCTAGTATGTATTAACTGCTAGGGGTTCATTTCATTTGTTGCAGATCCGTCGTGTGTGTTGCAATGTAATCGGATCCAGGTTTCCTCGAGTCAATTTAACACTCAAATTGATTTTCATTGGGCGCGGGGGATGATAACATTTAGTGTTTTGACGTTTGAAGTAGAACAAATCTATGTACTAAGAAACCAACCTGTCTGTAGATAAATCTATGTTCAAAGAAACTGACCTGTCTGTAGATAAATTTATGTACAAAGAAACTAACCTGTCTATAGATAAATCTATGTACTAAGAAACTGACCTGTCTGTTGATAAATTTATGTACAAAGAAACTAACCTGTCTATAGATGAATCTATGTACTAAGAAGCTGGCCTGTCTGTTGATAAATTTATGTACAAAGAAACTAACCTGTCTATAGATAAATCTATGTACTAAGAAACTGACCTGTCTGTTGATAAATTTATGTACAAAGAAACTAACCTGTCTATAGATGAATCTATGTACTAAGAAGCTGGCCTGTCTGTTGATAAATCTATGTACAAAAAACTGACCTGTCTGTGGATAAATTTATGTACCAAGAAACTGGCCTGTCTGCGGATAAATCTATGTACCAAGAAACTGACCTGTCTGCGGATAAATCTATGTACTAAGAAACAAACCTGTCTGGGGAAAAAATCTATGTACAAAGAGACTGGCCTGTCTGTGGATAAATGTATGTACTAAGAAACAAAACTGTCTCTGGATAAATCTATGTACAAAGAAACTGGCCTGTCTGCGGAAAAAAATCTATGTAAGAAAAAACCAACCTGTCTGTAGATAAATATATGTAAGAAGAATCTAACCTGTCTGCGGATAAATCTATGTACAAAGAAGCTAACATGTCTGCGGATAAATATATGTACCAAGAAACCAACCTGTCTGTAGATAAATACATGTACCAAGAAACCAACCTGTCTGTAGATAAATATATGTAAGAAGAATCTAACCTGTCTGTAGATAAATCTATGTACGAAGAATCTAACCTGTCTGCGGATAAATCTTGTATCAAACTTAGAGAAAGATTCAGTTCCAATCTTCTCCTTTAGATCTTTTCCGAGAGCCCTAATACGTTGAACGTATCCCTTCTCTAGACACTCGCTTATATACAAGGTTAGGATTTCAGTATATCCTTTTTCTACCATCCTAGAAAGATTTTACTTTAAAATCGTATTAGATAAAGGGATTGTAGGAGTAACGCATACCCGTTCCAAGGGACTGTTCAAAAATAGCTCCAATAATATTTCATGAACTCACCCAGCAAGATATTCAGCACAAATCTCCGGCGATATCCCCGAGTTGGCAAGAGGTCTGGCGAGGAATATTCCATGGTTTGCGTTCATCACAGACTGCCCCTCGGAGCTCGGGATCTTGAACTCGTAGAAAATAGAGAATGCAAGATCTACATTTCCCGCCAAAATTAGTTGTGGTAGAGCTGTTCTCATCTCCTGACCAACAGCAGATATTTAAATTCAAGTTTCAGATTACGAATCGCAAAACTTCATAACAAACATTTTTTTTTTCAATAAAAACTGAATCTATTCTTAATTGGATTCTTCAAAGCTTCTTTTACCAATTTGGAGTACCCATTGCCCATGGAACATTTCTGAATATTGATCGAAGTTGGAATCCCTTTGAAATCGAGGCCAACAAAAATTATGCGTTTAGAACAAATATGGTATGAATGTTTAAAAATACTGTTCCAAACAATGATGATATGAATGTTAGAAATACTGTTCCTGAAAGTATCCAGTTTTCTTAGGAACCCTTGGAACAAGCCCTTTAGCCTGTTCCGCCATACCGTTCTCACACAGGGCAATAATTACCTGGAAAGTTTATAGTTAACAGATAAATCCATAATAATTGAAGGGTCGTATCGTTTGCACTAACGTTCATTCGGACTAACGTTTTATTTGAGGGTTAGGTTAGGTTAAGACAATTTCTGGGCCGAGCGCTGCGGCCAGGACAGGCTAGGGGGCCGGGCGCTGCGGCCACAAGTGTTACTGATCAGCTGACTTTAGTGCAAAAGTACGTTAGTTCAATCGAACATTTGTGCAAACGATATAGCATCAATAATTTTAGTCCCTTCCATTCTGATACGAATCAGAGGATCCAAATCAAAATAAATAATATAATCTGCGTTTAATAGTTGATTTATTCTTCCCCCATCTAAACAAATCAGCTTTCGATAGTTTTTATTGAAAAATGTTACCTTAAAATAATCCCCGGCATCCAACTGTACATCCTTGTTTACAGCTTCTACAAGAAACTCTTCAACCTGAAATATGAAAATCACATTAAATCCAATTTGCTGTCGTAAGATTATAAAAATAAACAGATTTGACCAGATAAAAAAGATATAAAATTAAGAACTTAAACTAGAAACGAATCGTTGCGGAGTAGACGTAAGAAATAATTAAAAGATTTAAAAACACCAATTCAACTCTAACCCGAGGGAAAAATATTTAGCTAATTGCTTACACGAGGGAAAGGTCTGGTAAAGTTTTAGTTTATTTAACGGTAAAAAAGCAGTTTACTTACACTCTCCCAGTCTCTTGCTTTGGCCATTGAAGTTAGAATAACAGTATAGGTCTCCGCACCTGGCAGCAGTCCTGAGTTCTCCATCACCTAGTTAAAGGAATGTGGACTGATATCTATAATTCTTCACTACCGCAACACTTCAGAAATACGCTTTATCCTTAATTGCTAACTTATGAATATATTATAATAGCGCATAGATAGAATGCTTAACGTGAACATCTAAAAGAAAACGAGTAATTTTTGTGAACGAGTTATCAAATGAAAAGATAAAATTTCCAAGTTTTACTCTCCTTAAATCTAAGAATCAATTTTGAAAATATCAAAATTTTTAACCAACTAAAATTTAAAAGCAAATGAAGAGTGAATTAAATCAAAAAGCTAAAAAAAGGAATTTAGAATTCAGTAGTAAAAATGAGACCTGGAGGGTTTCCATGACGGACTCCTTGTCCCTGTTTATACAGTGGCCCATGAGTAAGGAGTGAAAAACATTTTCATTTATCGCCATCTCCTCCTCCTTCATGTGTTCCAGTATAGTGGTGGCTCCGGTAATATTACCCTCCAAACAATACATCCCTAAATTAAATAATAAATTCTCAGCAAACATTTAAATCAAAAAAGTTTCAAAACTATAAATGTAAATTTTCTTTGGATAAATTATACATTCCAAAGAATGTAGACACAGAATTTCTTCTGGATACATTTAATGGCTCCATCTTTCAGTCCAGATTGATAAAATAAAGATGAAAACAGGGGGAAATAAAAAATAGTTTGTTTTTACTCGGGGAATCAATGAAAACTAGCTGTATTAAACACAGGGTAGTGTGTTTGTGTGTGTAGCAAGGGGGGGGGGAAGAGCCTTCAGTTTTTTACCAATAAGATGCTGAAATGTAACACGGTTAGGTATAACTCCACCCTCTTCCATTTCAGCAAGAAACTCGGATCCATTCACAAGGTTTTCATTCTCAAGATGAATCTGAATTGTTTAAAAGGTACTATTTATTCAATGTTTTAACTTTAAAACCATGTAATCTCAAACAACCAATAAATCAAAGACTTATTAAGTAAATCAATCCATCATTCTATATATTCGAAATCAATCAACCAACCAATCAATCAATTAATGGCTATTCAATATCTATTCATACCTTTAATATAATGTTGTAGTGACTGACATCAAGTTTGAGATAAGACTTGACCAGAGGGATCATCACCTCCACTCTTTTTGTCCTTTTTCACGACGATATTTTAACATGAATCCAAATATACACATATTTTTGCTTTTTAAACGTTAGAGGACATTTTGTTTTGACGGTATTTGAAAAAATTTCTCTTTTAAGTTTTAAGGTTGCATTTAGGATAGCACAATTTGATCTCAACAAAAATTTACATAAAAATCATTTTTAAAATTATTATCTGTGAAACTGAAGTGAAAAGCAGAATAAACCCAATTCTTTTTTAGCTTTAAATAATATCGTTCCTTTGTTCTTTAGTTTCTTCTACTAATGATTTTCCACACGCTTTCAATAGAAGCTGAGCTTGTGTACTAGTGATAAACCGAGACCTTTTCTAAAATTCACATGGATTAAAGATTTAGAAGCAGACATTTATAAAATATATATATATAATTTCTCACCACAGTATTAATTATATAATCAAGTTCAGCTGGATGAACTCGTCCAAACCTTCTCATCTCATTATCAAGCTTATACAATAATCTACATATAAGCAGAATATTAATAAAAAATGTTTTCAAGTTCTTAAATATATAAAATTGATCTTTATCACCTGTCAAGGTTCTCCTCTGCCGCAGATTTAGTTGCTAGTTCAGGTTCAACTTTGTCCTCCTCCTTAAAAATACATTTTATTACAGAGAATTCCTAACTCTCAATTTTTACAATTTTTATCATCACTGTTTAAAAATCATTGCTCCCCACAAGTTAAATATGAGTTTTGCTTTACTAGAAGAAAGGGTTTGTAATCAAAAAAAAAATTAACTCCTGCGTGTTGCGAGTTCATCGTCAAAACATGCGAACAATCTACCACCAATAATTTTAAAAATCCAAACAATAAAAATATATAACTTTATATTTCTTTCCTTTTCCTTTTTGCTTAGATTTGAAGAAAATATTCCCAAAACCTCTATTTTTGGAGGTTTTTAGACATTTCCTCCACAAACACAAACACTGGATTTTCTTCCTTAGATTTTATAAATAAATAATCACTTACCTACTTTCCTGCTGTATGGCGGAAAGTTGTGCACCTGCTTGAAACTGCAATACTTGTATGAAATTTGTTTGAAATCTCACCTGAATAACTTGTGCTTGGATATTTGTTGTGGGAGTTGTGACCAAACATCTAACATTGGTTTGATTCACTTTAACAGCGATGGGTCTGAACAGAACTTAATCAATATTTAATAACCAATGCACTTATAGACAATTCTAAATTTTAACTTCGTCGTTGTTAGTAATTTCTAACATTTTTATCTTTGTCAGTGAAATTTCTAACATTAAAATTTTACAGCAAATGAAAACGAAAATTCAGATATTCATGAGGTTTTGTATAAAATGTGTACCTTGGAATTGCGATAAGAGATCCTCTAGTAACTCTGTTTATCCTTGGAAGTACTCTCCCAATTCTGCACCCCAGACTAGCCATTTTAATTCTTTTTTCTGGAATATGAAAAAAAGTTATTTATGTTTAATCTAAAAAAGTTCACAATTTGGCTAAATCATCCATAAAATCGTTGAAAAATAAATTGATTGAATTAATGAAATAAGAATTACATTATTACGATTATCAAATTAATTTTTGCACTACACTGATTAGTGCAGAGGGTTCTGTTAATACTCTTTAAATGCAGTAGTAAACAAAGTATGTAAATAAAGATATCGTATTTTAATGCTCAACTTAGTGTTTATCTCTTCTCCTTGTTAGTTCCTCTATGTTGACCTCTACCCCCACTACCCTGGGAGGAGGATGTGCCTCCCCTAGAAGGCTGGGCGGGAGCAGACGCCTGAGTGCCCCAGGTCTTATTCCCAATACTCCCAGAGGAAGAAGACTGAGAGCGGAACTGTCCTTTTCCTCCAGGTCCTGGTTGACCGTCCCGATAAGCAGCTTTCAGAGCCTTTCTCTCACTTTCTTCCTTTTCATACTGCGCGGCCAATTCCGGGTTAGGTTCACTCATATTTGGCAGTTCACTGAAGAGCATACAGAATTCTCCTATCTTGAAAAAGTCTCCAACCTTAGTTGTGTATACAGTTAGGCATGCCTTGAACATACCTGTGTATGCTCGAGTAACACGGAGTATATCTCCGGATTGAAGTATTTTACCTGGTTCATTCCACAGGGAGAGATTAACCATCCCTGTTCTGTCAGCAATCTTTACAGTCCGGACTTCTTGGTTATCCTTTACAGTGTTTGGTCTACCAATATCCAAACTAATCACTTGTAGAGTTAAGTTGTTCATTCCGGGTTTCAAATCCTTGATTAATGTTACGTTGGCGGCTGCGCCCGACATTTTGGCTTGATAAGCGTCAACTTAATTATAAAATCACTGAAAATCTACCAAATGAAGTGACGAATTGACGAGAAAATCCCAGCTTGGAACTAACTACCCCGACATTATTATCTTATCTAATTCATCTGAAACATTCTTATTAGAATCAGAGGTAAATACACTGAGAACTTACATATTTATAAAGTACGCCAATCTACATTTATCACAACCATTTTTTCACATAACGGGCAATATTTGAATATTGTCCAATTTTGAGGTAAAGTATAAAACTAAAGGAAACAAATTTGAGCTTACACAATGGTCACTGCATAGATTTAAGTTTCACAAATTCTGAATTTCAAAATATTTAAATGTTTTTAAGAAAAATGTATCTGTAGTATAAATAGATTTAACTGAAAATAACTGGTAAAAATTGTTACTGTAAGTGAAAAGCGTGAGTGAAGCAAAACATCTGAATGGATCTTTCACTTTACTCCTTTTTTCTCATATATTTCGCCTGAATTTTCTCGCGGATAAAGAGACCCTTCACAATTCTCCGCCAGTTATCAAGGATTCGTTTTTCACGTTTCTCAGCATCCCTTTCAGCCTAAAAACAAACCAAAATAAGCAGATTTGAAAATTTTCAAACTATTCTCTTCTTCTGGCCTTCAAGCTATTTTTTTTAGCTTCAGCCTTTCATTTCTGAATAGATTTCAGTTAAATTTTAAGATTTAAAATTAAAAAGGAAAGATTTAACTGACATAAATTTCAGTGTATCGACTTATAAAACCCCCAAGATTTTTTTCTTTTCAAATCAAAATCGTAGTCCCTCAAGTTTCAGCACATAAATTGACGGGAATGGATCCTAGTAGAGTCCATAAAATCATTTCTTGTCCAATACCTTATTCTCCTGTTCTTGGTTCCAAGCATCCATGACGATGTCAGCAAACTCTTCGCAAATCACGTATCCGTCGTATATCGGGTGACAACCTCCTTCACAAATTACATTGGCGTAAGTGAAACTGGAGTACCAATTTTAATTTCTTTGTGGTTCCATACAAAGTCGGGTCGGTATTTTAAATTGAGTTGTTGAAACTTGTGAAGTGTTTAAGGAGACTGTAGGCGAAATTTTAAGAAACCCTCCTTGCAAAGAGGGTAATGCTTAATTTACAACGGTACCCTTTGAACCTTTGACTGTTCATCAAGTACAGTGAGCTCCATGTGTAAATCTCTCGAATAGTGGTTGAATTGCTGTAAAAACCGATCAAAGCGGCGTACGGCGTGACTGTGAACTCAACACCGCAAACTTATTTGGCGATTTTTTGGAGTGAAAAGCTGTTTTTAAAAAAATCGGAAGTAAATTTTTAAAAAGTAACAATTGTTATTTCTTCAATAGGTTGCAAACAAAGTGTTAACCAATTAAACCCGTTTTAGTAGACTGATAAGGATATGTCTGAGATCCTTGATCAGTCATAAGGTTTACAGGGGTACTGTTGTGAATCGGACAAACCACTCTACAAATGAAGGGTCACTTGAAATTACGCCCACAGTAAAAATATTGAATAATGGGGAGAGATTATTACCTGAAAAGTCCCAACCCATCATGGCAGGGGCAGCGTCAATGTTTAACTTTCTGAGTACGCGTGTCATACCATTGATAGGGATATGTACGCAACCCTACAATAAAATAAAAAACATAAATAAAATTATCTACATTTTTCATTAACGTGGGCCAAAGTAGTAATGAAAGAATGAAAGAAAACACTTATGTCTAGAGAAAGAGGAAACTCTCTTGACAAGAAAAAATACTACTAATAAAAAATTTAATAGGTTTTTGATGTAAATTCTGATAGAAAAGAGTGTTTCAGAATATACCTAAAAACATTTGACTTCTATGTCATCAAGATAGATATATTTGGGAGTAGTTACGAATATTTAAAACAAGATTTTATGATTATGATAATAATTTCGAGATTTAATATTCAGAAATAATCATCCTAAACCTCTCACTTTAGGCAGCACGTTGGAAGCTAAATAAAATATATACGCCTCAGAGGAAAATAAGTCCTACCTTTGGTAACATCCAAGGTTTAAATAGTTCTACGTTTCCATATTCGTTCCTTGGAACCTTCCCATTAACAGCAGGAGGAGGAATATATAATTCAGTTTGCCATCTTCCAAACACCTCCAGGGGTTCATCCTTCACCATAGAACCTAGTTCATACATTGCTTTAACCATCTTCAATCGACGGAATGCCCAGGTGACCGATGAGATGTATCGTATGCTTAAAATGAAGAATGAAACAAATATTTACCGGTCATCCTATCCCACTTTGGTCTCGCCTTCACAATATTATAGGGATCCTCTCCTAGTCTTACAGTTCTACCCTCCTTCAACCAGGAGGTTCGACCCTAAAATTACTTTTCATGGAGAAAAAAATTGTTAATTTTTCTATTAGTATTTTAAAATGCATTGTGCCTTAACTTCAAATTACATTTCGTTGAGGCATGTTTTGAATCAAGCTATCACTACCTGTAGAGTATGTACGCATTCTCGGGCGTAAACAGGTTCCGACTTCATCCATCCAATTGGAGGTGCGTCAGGTGGGTAGATAGCCTCAAACTTCAAGAGATGACGCTTCAGAACGTACAAAGGATGACTTTTGAAACCACTGCAACAATATTTCATGAGATTAAAATATTAAACATATATAGTGTTTCTATTTGCATATTGGTGATGTTGTACTAAAACAAAACAAAATATAGAATTATGGGGAGACGAGGACATCATACAGTTAAAAAGAAACACTTACATGTTTCCCACTTCAAACATTTTTGTAAAAATTTAACTGCAGTGAAACAGATTAATTGTATTTAAAACCCTAAATAAAATACAGGGTGTACCACATCAAATTAGACCGCGTCAATGGGTCTAAATTTTGATTTGGGGGAAAAATCAGAAAATTTAAGAAGAATGAATCATTTTGAAAGATTTGATTAGGCGAATAGAATTTTTTTTTTTTTGAAAATGCTAGATTTTTCGATTATTATAAGCGTACGATAGCGTTAAAGATTAAGGAGGAAGTCTTATATGATATGGGACAGATATGATATGATCTAACAAGAAGAGTTTTGTGCAGACATATGTAAATATCATGTCCTCCTTTTGGCTATAATTTCGTCCCGTGCCGAGAAAACCATACTTTTCAAAAATTCCATAACGCTGTACATGTCAAACTACACCTACAGGAAATTTAAAACCAAAACTATTTTTTAATAAATGATGAAGATCGCACTGAAAACCCGGATGTAGGCAAGAATTGAATAAAGAATGCCTAAAGTGAGGCCTGTAAAGTATGATTGGATTTGATTTTATAAAATGGCTTTACCTAACCGTAGTCGGCATAGGAGCTTCTTCCGCAGTCTTGATCAACTCCATATCCTCTTTAGAATCCTTTAAAAACATTTAAATGAGTTAGAATAATTCAATTAGAATATTTGGTCTCATGTTGCTTGTATCTGGATAATCAAGACCGTTCAAAATATTACCTTTCTGTCTTTTTTATCAAAAGCTCCGATAACAGCGCTGATCCATTTTTCATCATGCCTGATCTTTCGGGTTGTGGTCATGTAGTTACTTCCGTACCTTCTAGTCACGTCCTGAAAAAAACCTTTGATATAACCTGGGAATTGATAATACATTTTACTTAAGTGAAATAGATCAAATTTAATATTTAATTTTCGACAGACATTTAAGTTAAAAAAAATAAATTTTTCCTTTACAGAAAATTTAAATTTTTAAAATTGAGTTTTCAGTAAATATATTTAATAAAATAAAACACGTTGCGTACTGACGTTGTACCTTCATGTTTCCCATGTTGTCGATCGAAACTATATAGTAGAGGGGTTTGCTCAGCTTAGATTCAATATCAGGAGGAGAGTTGATCCGACCCGTCTCCAGGTCCACACAAACCCACTTTTTATCCGTCTCCAGGTACACTTCTGACCAGTAGTGAAACTTGGGATTTGTAATCTTTGTACTTTTTGATCCTTTACCAGTAGAGGGTCCTGCGCTTCCTTCAGACTTTTGTTTCCTGCTTCCACTCGGCTTTTCTTGAACATCCTCTTCTTCTACTTTAGTTGGATATTTCTTATTTATCTTTCTTATCATTTCTTCTTCTCTTTCGTTAGAAGAAGCGGACTTTGAATTTGAAGGCTTTTGTGTTGAGGATTTTCGTTTTGAAGCTTCGGCTAGTTTGGCGCTAATTGACCTTGAGCAAGAACGATTTGACTTTTGAGAGATTTTCGCACTTAATGATTTTTTCGCGGGTTTCTCCTCAAAATCTTCTTCTCCTTCGGAATCTGAAGCTGCTCTTTTAGACTTTTTTGATTTTGACTTCTCTTTTTTATCTTCCTTGACAGGTTCAGGGATGGGATCAGGTTTCACAGGTTTCGTAGCATTTTCAGCTGGAGGTTTGAGCGGTGTAATATCAAAGTTGAGAACTATCCTTGTATTAAACCCAAGTGCTCGACATACAAGGACGAATGTTGTAACGAGTTCCAAAGGTTCCATTGCAAGGAATGTTTCGAGTACATTTCGTTGACGATCCCGAAAGGGTCTAGATGTACCGCTAAATTTGGTTTTATTTACAGGAATCAGATCACGCAGCCAGCGAACTAAACAAAGAGATATGATTTAAAAAATTCAAAAACTTAGGTTTTCATTTAGTTCTGAAACCTACCTAGGGATGATAGTTTAGTAAGGTTAAAATCCTGAGGTGAGTGGGTGTGCGCAGAAGGAATGAGTGAAAGAGCAGATCCATAAAGTAGGTCGTCAGTCAAGGCAAGGTTCAGGTAACGAAGGTGTGCAACTTCAATATTTCAATAAAGCTAGAAATAATACTTAAACTTATAAAATTTTAACAATAAAGACGATACTGTTTCAAAGACTAACATTCCTTTTTGCTTTATTGAGATAAACCTAATGAGACGAAATGTGCTTGATGAAGTAATATCTGAGTTTCTCGACGAACTTTAGCCATCTCACGTTTCAAGAACGCAGATACATCAAACCCTTTCTTCTTCTTTCTTCTGTAAATAGAATCATTGGATTACATAAGTAAAGTTAAAGGGAGAGACCAGCGATGTAACATCTATCTATCTATTATGACTCCCCAATAACGCGAATAACCCTTCCCAGCAAACCACAGCCTCCTTCCGGAGTGCGTGAGTCACAGAGTTAGCAGAACATATTTGAACTGAGAATCCAGTATTGTAGAGAAAACTTTAGGATTCATTTGATATCAATGAGACATTTTACGGAGTACAATTCTTAAATGAGAGCGTAGTCGTTTGTAATATTTTACCAGTTGTTTTAGCCAGCAGACGAAACGTTTTTATTACAATTCTTAACTAACATTGACAAAATATGTGACAAATACTATTCTACAAACTAGTTGCATGTATAACAAACAGGCTGTGAAAAAAAATGAACTTTAATCATTAAAAATAAGTTAATAAAATTCTTTTTAAATCTCGCAGGTTTATGCAAAATCTTTCAGCTAGGGTCGCTTGTTGGAGGTTTTTCTACAATATTGCACTTTCAGCTCAAATATGTAACACAGCCGGTCTCTCCCTTTAAATCAGATAAAAAAGAGATGATATTTTTAGTTTTTAAATACAATCGTTTGATTACTTAAACCTGTCAAGATAAAATGAGCTAGGTTGAGCCTAGATAATAAACTAGATTCGAAAAATCGGAAATCAGCATATTTCGTTTTATATAATTTTAAGAAAATATTAAACTTGTGAAATGAGCTTTTACCTTGCTTTATCAGGTAGATCAATGTTAATTTGTATGGATTGTGTTGGTAAAATATGTTCTTTTGCCTCTTCTTTCTCTTCATCTTCATCCTCCTCGCTGTAGTTCTCAACCCCCTCACCCCGTGCTGAAAACAAAACATCATTTAAACCATGAAAAATCATACATAAACTAAGAATATTCATTACCATTTTTGAAGAAAAGAATGGGATAGCCTAAATGCATGAAGTAGTTTAAAATAATTCAACATTTTTTAGAATGAGGAACATAAGTTAGATCACTGGAATTTAAGGAAGACTTTTTAGTCAGAGAGAAATGAGCAAAACATATCCAGCCACTAAGGATAGAGAAGTTAGCTGGGCCTGACAACATTTTTATCAAAATAATTCTTATTTCTGAATATTAAGACATCCTGAAGTGAAACATGACCTGTTTTCCTCATCTATTATAAATTCGGCTTGACTGTCTGTTTGTTTGTTTGTATCCAATAAACGTCAAAACGGCTGAACCGATCGGGTTCAATTTTTTTGTGGGACCTCACGTGACCCCAGGGAAGGTTTATGAATGATCAAAATTTAAAAAAATTGTGTTTAAAATTTTTTTATTTTTGCAAAGTTTTGAAAATGCTGGGGGGGCTTCAGATCCTCCCTTATCTTATATACGACAATGCCCGCAAAAAAAATTCCGCCCCGAAGTAGCACGTCTTTGAGAAATTGAATCTTATAATTTCAAAGTCTGGGATTAAGTACTTTTTACAGAAAAGTTTATTCAGATAGGGAAAAAACTTTAGAATTTGCAAATTTGTAAAGTTATTTTGCAAAAAGTGTGCAAAATTATCTTCCAACTTGGGTAATTGATAAAATTTTAATATATGTTGAGCCAAAAAAGGTTGAAATCCATTCAGAAACATTTTGCCGTTTTTCCTTCGCTGTGAGGCTGAAATGCCCGTGGAATTTTTTGTATTATAAAAAAAAATCTATTTTTTCAGCCCAAGTTCCCTCAAAAAATGTCAGCCCATTTAGTTTAGCCGTGTTACCAGCTATAGCTATCATGTATACAAATAAATATATATGAGCGAAGAGCTTTATTATATAGATGGGCATAATTCATAACCCGGGTGTCAAACGAAACATGACAGTAGCAAGACAAGAAGGTCGTCTTTGATCTTTGAAATATTTTGTTGTAATTTATTCGTAAATAAAATACCTCTAAACCTGGCAATTCCAAAATGTTGTCTGCCATTTTGTGCTTTTAATATTACCGTTGAAATAAAAAATGTTATACAGGTTTTAACAATTTAACAATTCTAAATATCTCCGGTAATATTGACAGCAAAAAAAGCGGACATGATTCTGGAATTGCCAGGACTTGGAGAATTTTGTGATTATTGTATCAAGAAGTAGGGTGACGACTAAATTGTCATGTTTCGTAGGAAACTCTGTATATTAGAGTGACCTACGTTAATTTTGACATGACTAGTTTAAACTATGAACAATTATAGGGGATGTACTGTATTGGACATGATAAAACTGCGGATTTTTAAGAGAAATGAAATAAAATGTTATTTGAAATTTTGTTGTGAAATCTATGGAAAGGAGACCGAGCACATTTTCTAATAGCAGGCCTAATTTTTAAGTTTTAAACGGCATTTTATTAAAAAAATATACAGAAAATGATCAGAATCTACATTCTATAATTTACGAGACTAAAATGGTTCCTAGTTAGGTTCTGCGCTAAAGCTATAAGAGTTTGACTAGACTGTGCATCATCTCCCTCACCGGTCTAAACAATTACATCTTATAAGTATTAAGTATGTTCCTAGAATACAAATATCGGTGTCGTGCGTCAGTTCATCTCCCCCTGTTGTTCAAACCATTTCAACACAATATTAGACATCAAAATCAATGTTATGACACTTCTGGATGTTTTTTTTATGTATTTTAATTGGAAAAACACATTAAAAGATTTCAGCCTCTTCCATTGATATAGATTATTTGATATTTGGAAGGAAAACGATAATTTTTTGCATTTACCCCTAACATGCATTTAAGAACTAAATGCGCGTATTTAATAAACTACAAACTATGAAGTAACTAATAAACTTATAAATTTTGATGTTTTATAATAGCATTTTCATGTCTAACTGTGTATGTAGAAATGGTTAATGGGAAGGTGAACCCACGCAATTCGCAACCTTAGTGATAATATCTATCTATGATAGCACAAACTATCCTAGAATAATGAGTTTACAATGTGTATCTTTACATANTCACGGAGAAAGGGAGGTAGAGAGTTTTCATGGAGGTAAACCAAGTAAGCTTTTAAAGTATTGTAGACTTTTTAACAATGCGTCATCCATTATGCTTTACTAAAATTGAAAATAAAAACTGGCCAAAAAGTAATATCATTATAATTAAATTGTGATCAAATCTGGTCGGGTGATAAAAATGTATCAATTACCTTTTCTTCCTCCATACTTGAACTTCTGCTTTCTACCTTTACTCTACCTGAAAAACAAAACCAAGTTTAAACTTAAAACACGCACAAAAATAAGAAATAAATAATAATTAAATGTGAAAAAGGTCAGGTTCTCGAACTATTTTTTTCTGCGGGTCTCTCATACGAGGATATACGATTATTGATCTGAAAGTTTCCCCATCTTGAGAAACCCATATTTAATTGCGTATTAAAGAGTTATTGATTTAAAATGAACTCGCTTTTCAGATAATGATAATGTCTTGCAATTGAATAGCTTCTATCTAAGTATCCATGTTTATTGTTTGTCAAATTGTATTTTATTATCAAATATTAATATTTTATATCGTAAACCCGTTCTAAGAACAAAAAGACTAACCTGCCAGATTTCTTTCCTTTCTCCTTTCTCTCTCATCTTCATCACTAGAAGATCCAGAATCTGAGAGCTGTAAACTACTCTTAGGTTCAATTCTGCTTCCAGCTTTTAATCTACCACCAAGTTTTGGTTTTAACCCTGTTAAAGGTTTCAAGCTGCCCATAGGTTTCAAGAAGTTTCCAGATTTCAGACTTGTTTGTGTACCCTTGTAGTAGTCAGTCATCATAGCCTCCTGTTCCATCCTCTCTTCAGTCTCCGATATTTCATCCTCGGAACTAGGATCCTCCACTTTAACCTCTTCCTTCTTCAGTTCAGCCTCGAAATCAGACTCAGCGTCGCTGTCTTCATTCATCATCTCTTTAAGCTTTATTTTGGCCTTTTTTAACTTTGGATCCTCATTCTCATCCTCGCTAGAGACCTCCTTGTCGAAGTATTTAATCGACTTTGTAGATCGGGCACTGCGTCTTTTGGAGGCCATCATTGAAGATCTAAACAATTTAAACATTGAAAGCATAATTAGGAAAATAATTTGAAGATTCCATTATTAAACCGAGGAACAATCAAAAACGGAGATTTTCTATAGATGGATACTGGATAGAGCCGAGAACTAGGGGTGAGCACAAAAAAAATTATTTTTTATCGATGATTTGTGGTTAACTATTCCCATTTAAGTAATTTGATTTTCCTGTCAGCAATTACCATCCTTTCTTTAAATAATCTGCTTCCTTCCATATTAAGTATTTCTTTTGTCAAATAATGTTTTTCACAACATATTAATCGACCTATTTTTTGCAACCCATTCTCCTTTTTTTATTTTTTTTGTGAAACCCTGCATTATCATTTCATTAATACCGTACCTAAATTTTTCCCCTCCCTTTTCTTAATGACAAATTCAGGTTGAGTCTGACTTTGAAAATAAAATAAAAAATTGTTTACATTATTTTAAAACTACAATTTTAACTATTCTGCTTTGTGGCTGTATTCTATAAAAAAGGTTTTAAAATTATTCAAAATTAACAGATCGTACCATATTTTGTATGTAAATATCAAATTGAATTTAATGGATTTGATATATTTAAATGTTTACGATTATAAATAATAAATTTGTATAACTTGATAATGATATTATAAATCCTGATTAGATAAATTATCATCAATATGAAGATATGTTATCTGCATGAATATCATGAATAGCTTAGTTTTCACAAATCTATCAGATTATATAGTAAACTCAAACTCCTGTGAATTTTTTAATCGATTTAATTTGGTTTTATATATTTAATTTTGTTGGGTTATAATTGTCAGAAGGGGACTTCTATAAATCAATCCTAAATCCTGAAAATTTCATTTCAAGAAACGTAATGTTAAAACTAATAAACATTCATGTTCAAGGCTTTTCTTCTTACCGCAACATATTTATGTATTTGGCTTGTCTGTACGTCTATTCGTATAAAATAAGTGTCAAAACTACTGAATTGATCAGGTCCAAATATAAACCATGAAAGGTTATGGCCGGTCAGAACGTGAAAATTTCACCTCCAAGAAAATTTAAATTTTACTATTTTTAGGAAATCCACCAACGATAAAAAAGAAGAATCTGTTGTTTTTTAGCTAAAGCTTTAAATTTTACTGGAAAATGAGGCGTCTTAAAATCTTAAAAGCACAATTTTAAGTAATATGTCTTTAAACTGCTTATTTAAAGGGTTTCTTTTTCAGCTTAGTTTAACTTGGAATGAATTCATTGTTAAATAATTTTCTAGGTGGTGAAAATATCTTTTGATCAGAACAGAATCTGAACAAGAAGAACTTGGTTCCATTTAAAGTTGTAAATGTATATTTAAACATCAGTGCTCACATTAGGCTCAAAAAATAGCTCCATCTCGATAAGTCTAACAAAAGGAAAACTTAAAACGAATAAAACAAAAATAGTAATTTTAATCATGTGAACAACATTTGTAAATTTCTAATATTATTTTCAGATTTCACAAAAGTTATCAGAATGTGGGAAAATTACCGATAAGATCGACAAAATGTCTACAATCCCCAATAAAATGAAACCTAGTACGCAGAATTAGAAAAACCGGATTTAGAAACCGTTCGATTTCCAGAATACCAATCAAGTTGGCCTCAACTTATTGTGATAAAGTGAGATAAGAAATAAAACTTTTCAGCCCTAGATAAGGAAAACGGATTGGAACAATTAATTTTAAAGAAGAATTGTAACTTTCTTATATATGTAATGAATAAAAAGTAACCAAACAAAAAGATGCAATATTAAATAAAAGCTGCGCAGAAGGAGATGATTCCCCCTTTCAATAAATACTCTGTAGTGCAGAGTCGAGTGGGAGGATAATTTATTTCTTTTAACTTTTTTTTATTAATCACTCTCCTAATCGATTATTTCTAAAATTATTAAGAAAAAGATTTAAATAATTGTAAAAACCGCCCAATTTACCCATTCTCCAACATTTACGCCAGGGTGTATTTGAAATAATAATAAAAATCTGTTTCTGTTTCCCCCAGCAGAGGGAGGTTAGGTTACTTAACGTCCCTTGGGAAAATTTAAGTAAAATAACCACCTGTTTTGCGAAGTTTTCGGGGAAAAAAATTCGCGCATTCTCATCTCAAAAGACGATACACTTTGTTAACTACTTTTTCGGGAAATTAAAAATTTTGCTTTACCACAGGTTCTCTCGACCCCTCATCAAATCAAATCAAATCAAATCAAATCATATTAGTAGGGATGGCTTAAGGCTCCTAAATGTAGGTTTGAGTTTCAAGTCTTGCCCACATCATGGGTTTTCAGCCCGATTTCTAACAATGTTTTAAAATTCTTAATGAAGATTACATTTCTAATAAGTTTACGAACTCTGGTTGAGTATTCAGAAACCCGTTTTTATGTTAAGTCAGGTATTGCTTTAACTTAACTTAACTTTTACGTAGTTGTAAATAATCATAAATGTAGAATGTTTTGCTATTAAAAGGTGTTCCAAGATAAAATAGAGGGCTATCAAAAGTTGATTTAAAGATCTGCGAAACGTTATTTTCATATTTTCATATTTTTAATATTTTTTTTAAATTGAAGTTGGAAAGTTTTAAAATGAAGAGTTTAGATCCTTATCAGTATGAAATATTTGTCATCTACAGTTGCAACTTGTTATGTATGTGTTGATTTACCCCCGCCCCCCTCTTTTCAAAACACTTTGATCTAGGGTTACCCACAAAGGACGAGACTCAGAGACGACTGTACGGAATTTATTCAGTCTGTTTCCTAATTTTTAAGATTCCTTGAACTTCTTTCTTTCTTTTTTAAATCATTTATTAAGCCATTAAAAGAATATACTCAAGAAAGAAGACTTAATTAAACCTTAGATGTCATATTTTACGAGTTTCAGATCGTCTTTACAGTATCATCCTTTGTGGGTAACCCTGTACAGTTAAACTTTATTCTTAAAAAAGGAAAGATTTTAAAAAATAAATATTTCAGTTTTCTCACCAATATTTCAAGAAGATTGAAAAAAAATGTCGTCATATTTATGTTTCGCATAATTAGAAAAAAAAACTTTAACATGTATCTTATTCCAACAGTTTAAATAAAAAACTTAAAGCGATAAACTTATAAACTAAAATTCCATAACTGGATTAATCAGAGGCAAGGAATTTTGTTAAAGATGTTATTGTTGTTTACAAACAAATATAATCTTTAAATTTTGCAAACTTTTTTATACTTTCGACATCAACATTCAACAATCTTTCTAAAAAATATATTTTTTTAAATATATGTTTTCTTTAAATATAATTCTGTACGACCGCAATTAAGCTGGGCTCCGGTCAAACAAGATAACAGCCCCCTCAGAGGATCCAAATC